TTTTTCTCTCTCGCCAAATTTTCTTTATTTGCCTTCTCGTATATGTGTCAATGAAAATCTTTCTCTTGGCGAATTTTTCTTTTGCCTTCTTCTTGTATTTGTACTAAACAAAAGTTTGGGTATTTTAGGTTGTTTTTAACTATTTTCTATTTTTGGACAGGTTGTTAAAGAAATAAGAGGAGAATAAGGAGTTAAAGCAGGAAGAACCAATTAGTGGGTAAAATTAACAGAATAATCTACTGATTCTTAAATTACAAAAGTCCAATTTTATGGCTGGTCTCTGGATTGTGTATATTTGGCAGTTTTATTTCACAAAATTAAAGCAATTCACAAATAGCCTAGCAATTTAGATTGAAATTAAAGCAACTAACAACCCCAAATTTCGGGTTTCCCTTGTAGTTTCAGTTGTTTTATGCAAAAAAAAAAAATCTGAAAAATGGGCAGAATTTTTCTTTTAATTTCGTTTCTTTTATAATTCTACTAATTCAAATGTGTTTGTACAATTTAGGAATGGATTCCGCTAAGTTATACAAATTAAAACGAAGAGATAAGCAGATTTGTGCAAGATCAGCTAATTAAACTAAATCTGAGTTTTTCTGGATTCAAATTAGTTTTAAACAGCTCATGGAACACAAAGAACAGCAAAACCCTAATTAATAGTAGATAAAGGATAGAAAAATTATTTGGCAAACCAATGCTCTGATACCAAATAATACGGAACCACAAGATCAACATAGAACTTAGAACTCTCCACCAATTATTAACAAATAATTAATTTTGCAACTTTTTTTTTTTTATGCAAACTTGCAATGTTAAGTGATTTTGTATCTATATTGTTAATTTTTGTAATATAATTAATTAATTAATTATAATTTTTTAAGGCAAAATTAGAGACAAATTATACGAGGTATGTAATAAGGTATATTATTATCAAATTATTATAATATTTGAAATGATATTTAAATCTTAGGTTAGGTAAGAAATTAAAAAAAAAAATCAAGCTGGAGAAATATTTGTATTATTTGTATTATATTTATTGGTATGAAAAAATATGTTAAAATGTGAATTACAAAATTGAAAGATTGTGAATCAATATAATTTTAGAAATCCCATTTATAATTGACAGGCATAAAAATATGGAAATTGCTCTATTAACAAACAGTTGTTATGTAATTTGCTTATTTTAATTTTGTAATTAGTAACTTTCTTATTACCATAAATATTATTAAACAGCCTCGTTGTTCCTTCCTCTCTCTCTCTCTTACTCCTAAAACCTAACCTAAAATTTAAAATCTCTTTTTTCTTCTTCCATGGGCCACCGGTAATCACCCCTTTCCTTTTTTGTTTATTTATTTTTTCAAATAATAACAGATCTGAATTATTGTCACTCAAATATTGAAGTTTACTGTTGCTCATATATCGGCATTTTGTTCTTAGATCTAATTCTGAGTTATTGTTATCAACATCATGCTGATTTTATCTAACGTCTTTTATTATTTAGATAGTAATACAGAAAGAAGTGCAGATCTCATCTCCATTAGAAGGAAGAAATTTGAAGATAATCAGATTAGACTTGTAGAAAGACTATGGAGTCAATCAGTAACCGTGAATAGCCATCAAGTGGTGCAAGCGATCATCTATGGTACATCTATTATATTTTGTCAACTCGATCAGATACTTCAAATTAAGATTGTGTTTTTTAATTATTTATATAAGTACTTTATTATTAGATTTGCTATACAAAAATATAGAAATATATTGATCTGTATCCTATATTTATATACAGTTTCGATTAATAAAATTTCTAGTTTGATTTTTCTCGCAAAAAAAATTATCATAAATATTAATACGAAGAAAAGGTAAAAAGATAAATTAATCAAATTTAAATTTCAAATTAGATTACCCAACCTAAAGACATATATGGATAGTCCCATATGCCAAACCAATCTATAATTTTTTTATTTTGAAGAATTATTGATGCTTTATCCTTTTTTTTTTCCTCAATACTCTCGTTACAACAAAAACTTGTTTTTGATTGATCTGGCAAAGTCAACAAACAATTCGAAATGCCTTGACTTTTTTAGAATTGATTCGAGTCAAATAGCAATAATTCAAATCACTCCTTTTTATAACATGTTGAAAATCCAAGGACTCAATCATATGGATACGTAAAATACAGGATTTTCAAGCCTAACGGGAAAAGAAAGGAGAGGGATGCTCAATTTAAAGTGAGCAAACAGAATTTCATACTCGATCTCATAGATACATATAGAATTATGTGGAAAGCCATATTTGACAAAAGTTGTATGTACAACATCAAGTCACTAACTTTCTTGACCTTTCGGCATGGGCAGACATCAACCCCGTACATAGTATTACAACTTTGCGAGGCTTTTTTAGTAAACAGTTGCCCTGGCCTGGTCACTGCGACCCTCTTTGTGAGGTAGCACGCCTTCTCTAGAAGTTACGAAACTATTTTGCCGAATTCCTTAGAAAGAGTTATCTTGTGCCTTGAGGTATTCACTACCTAAACACCTGTGTCGATTTCAGGTACAAGTACCCTTTTGTTGAAAGTCGTTTGAGCATTTCCCGAGAGTATGCCATAGGGTACTTCAACTATAATTATTTAGAATTAATTTATTAACCAACGACGGAGCTAAGGGGTCAATGGTTGACCCCCTCCCCCTCAAACAAAATTTTTTTCTTAGATTTTATCCATAAAATATTAAATTTTTTTATTTTATCCCTTAAACTAGTAAATCTTTCAATTTCACCCCTTTTAACTCTTGAAATTTTTTTAGCCCCTCTTGGCTTTAATTCCTGGCTCTGTCTATTAACATCATTGTAAGCTTTAGAATCAACAGTAGCTTTTACTTTCTTAATTTGATGAATAGAATTCTCACGGATGTTAGAGCGATCTTTTAGACGTTGCTTCACAAATTCATCTGAAATTGTGTTAGAATATTCCGGTGATAACTTTGGAGATTTCAGTTGCACTCAATGATGTGATGCTATGTCAAGTGCATATTTTTTCAAGCTTGGCGGGTCACTTGTTGGCCTACTACTAGAGCTTCTTCACAATAGTTATTATATAATGTTTTTTTCACATGATTGATTTATTAAATCTAAGCCCTGTTCGTGACTAGTAGAAATCATGGCAAAGAAAAAGATTTTGGAAACATGATCTTTCGCGGGATTTTTCTCTCTCACCAATTTTTCTTTATTTTCCTTCTTGTATACATGTCAATGTAAATCTCTCTTGGCGAATTTTTCTTTTGCCGTCTTTTTGTATTTGTGCTAAGCAAAGGTTTGGGTATTTAAAATTGCGTTTAACTATTTTCTATTTTTGATAGATTCTATTTTAAGGTGTTTGTAACTACTTTGTATTTTTGGATAAGAGCATAATAAGAAAAGAACAAATTAGTAGGATCAAAGTAAAAAAAAAAAAAAAAAAAAAAAATCATAATTAATTGAGGCATTTATCTCACAAAGTTCATTTATCTCACAAAGTTATCTTGTACCATGAATATTCCTACTTGACAATGTTTTTATTTTGAGTATTTGGAGAGGGGGATTCAAACTTGAATCTATTATCGGGTCATATATACACTTACCACTAGGCTATGCTTTGATGTGCCCTATTTGATAATGTTAGTTGTTTTAGTGGCTATTAATTGTTCCAGTAATTTTTATGGAAAAAACTTATCTAAATTGGGTCTATGACCCACTTATTTATCAAAGCAATGAAATTAAAGATTTTTTAAAAAGTGTTTCGATTTTACATATTTTTTTTCAATTGTGTGGTCAGAAATATATTCATTTCAATAAAAATCTTTAATTTCATTGGTTTGGTTCATAAGTCAATCCACAATCATTTTTGTTGAATAGAACTCAACCAAAATCATAGAAATTAAAGAGGAGTTCTAATTTGGAATGTTTCACGGGATAAAAAAAGTCAGATTTGACCTTTTGGGGCAATTTAGTCCATAAACATGTATAAAATTATTGAAAAGATCTTATTTTACTTTGTAATCTAATTTAACCCCTAAACTTATTTAAAATAATTTCAAAAATGACATTTTGAGTCAATTTAACATCTAATTCTTCATTGTACTTACAATGCGAAAATCATTAAATAGACATTAAAACTGCAATTGGGATCGAGCTGACTAATTTATTAAAAAGTTAATTAATTATAAAATATTGGAAAATAATATATGAAGTATATTGTATCTCTCTTTACCTTGATTCTTGATTGATGATTTTGAGTTTAAAATATGTATTATTTGAACATTTTAAAATTAATCTTATTAATTTGAACATTTTAAAATTAATCTCTATTACTGGGTTATCGCTTATGAAATACATACATTTTTCATGTTAAATAAATTAAAGTTATAATGCATATGTTTTTAAATTTATTATGTTACAAGAAATGATGTTTTGTGAATTTTAAATTTGTATTCATTAGTGTAGGAAAAGTTTGATATGAGTGTTTTTAGTGTTGGATAAAAAGAGATAAAAAGTCAATCATGTTAAATTAAATAAATTATTAAATTTATAAAAATAAAAACAAGTTCAAGGTTAAATTACTAAGTAAACTCGGATCTTTTTAATCATTTTATAGATGTTCAAGGGCTAAATTGATCTAAAAGATCAATTCTAGCCTTTTGAATCATGCTAAACAAGTTCAAGAACCAAATTAATTTTTATTCGTTCTAATTTCTAAACATGCATGTGGGAGTAAAAATCTCATTTTTGCAATTTTTAATTAACAACTTGATTTTTTTTTATTTAATTAAAATGCATTTCAATGCCAAATAGCTAGTTTAGATCGACTTACTAGTGATTTAGAGCAAGAAACAAGAGAAACTAGAAAAATTTTAAAAAAATTATAAAATGAAATGTTAATATGGATTCATTTCCATAAATGATTGTTGCACTAATCTGACCTTACAATAATACACATATGGAAAGATTAGATGGGCTCACATAAGAGTTCAATTTTGGGCGGAGAGATTTGAAAATGTTAAAATAATACTGGAAATTTGGCTAAATTTTGTGTTGACCCTAGTCAATGGAGATGTAACTCCATTGAAACCTTCCTCACAAGTCTTAGAACTGGTCATCACAGCACTAATCCATGTATTAACATCATTATAAGCCTTAGCATCAACAGCAGCCGTTGATTCCTTAATCTGATCAAGGGCACTCTGATAGACCTCAGAGCAATCTGTTAAAGCCTGCTTTACAGATGCATCTGAACTTGTTCCGAGCAATTTAGGGATGAGCTTCAATATTTCATTGGCATTCAATGATGCTACGTCTAGTGCACTTTTTGTCAAGCTTTGCATGTCACTTGCTGTGGCTGACGCTAGGGCTTCTTTGCAGAAATCCTTGTATAAGGTTTTGTCACATGATTGATTTAACAATTCTGAGGCTTGGTGATAGGTTTTTGTCAATGATTGATTTTAAACAATTTCTGAGGCTTGGTGACTTTAGTAAGCAATCATTGGCAAAAAGTAGGGACAATGAAAAGATTTTCGAAGACATGATGTTTCGTCGAATTTTTATCTCTTCCAATTATTTTATTTGCCTTCTTGTATATATGTCAATAAATTCTTTCTCGTGGCGATTTTTCTTTTGCTTTCTTCTTTGTATTTTGTAGTAAACAAAGGTTTGGGTATTTTAGGTTGTTTTTAACTATTTTTCTATATTGGATTTGATTTTAAAGAAATAGGAAGAAAGAATAAGGATGGTTAAAAACACATGTGAGAAAGAGAGAAACCAATATAACGGCAAAAATAACAGAATAATCTATTGTTTCTCAATTAAGCAAAAGTCCAATGTTATTTCTGGTTTCTGGATTGTCCCTATATATGCAAGTTTATTTCACAAAGTATCTTGTCAATTGAATGATAATAATCCTATTACTAATAAGTGTATGAACATTATTTAAAACAAATTAAAATTAAATTGAGGTTATTGCGAATATCTTTTCCGCCAAAGCATACGGGAAAAGTAAATTCTTTGTTTTTTTGTTCGTAAGAAGTAATAAAACTTTTCAATTTCAAAATGTGGAAGTGTTAATTTCTATAAAAATAATTCAGGAATAAATGTTTTTATTTTTGAATAAAAATTTTATAATAGCAAGCATCTATAATTTTGAGAATAGATATTAAGAAAAAAATGCCATGGTAATAATTTTTTAAGTTAAAATTAGAGACAAATTATACGAGGTATATATATAATCTTATCATCAAACTATTGTAATATTTGAAATGATATTTAAATGTTAGGAAAGAAATAAAAAACTCAAGCTGGAGAAATATTTGTATTATTTTTATTATATTTGTTGGTATGAGAATATATGTTAAATGTGAATTCGCCATGATTTTCGCTACCCTGATCGGTAACATGTCTCTAATGAAATTTCACAATCATAATTTGTATAAAAGATTTTAATTGAAAAGTGAATGAAATGGCAGGGATTATTTTTGCCATCCATACATATATAAAACCAATAAATAAAAAATATGTTGAGAATTGTATCATATGTGAAAAATATGTGAAAAAAATTACATATGATGGATATTCAAATAAAGCCAAAATTTTATTCTCAGAATATAAATTATGATATATAATATTAAATCAATTATTATTTATTCCATTTACATAGGTTGTGAAAAAAAATACTTAGAAAAAGTCAAATAGAAAAAAAAGATTTATCGGATTATTAATAATTTTTATCAAAAAAAATCACATAGATTAACTATGCTATCTATATAATAAGTAAAACTAAATACTTATATATAGGATATTTACTTGTTTCGTATGACCGTACTAATTTTATAAAATTTACTTTAAAATATATATACTTTTCCATTTTGAGAATAATGTTATTGGGTAATTTATTTTTATTTTAAGGAAAGAGAACAACTTATTTTTATTAAATTCTCTCTCTCTAAAAAAAAAAAAAGATTTTCATTAAAAAAACAAAGCAAAAGAATAAAGAATTTTTCATTTTCAAATCATATTAGGAATGGTATTATTGGATAAAAACTAAATAATCTTTTTTTTTTCTTTATGAATAAAAAGACAACAAAAGATAAGCTTAAGTTCTATGCATATATACAAAATAAAAAACAAAAAGGAGAGATATCAAGATATAATCTTAACTGAAAATATATATGAATCTTACTTCAACAGCTAGCTTAGAAAGTTTCAAGATATGAAAACCAACTATAAAAAAATAAAAAATAAAAAAAAAATCAAGAATTGCCTATAAATAACATAACCAGTTTTGGAACCATAAGCACCTCTGAAAAATCTAAAAAGGCCATGGCTGAAAGCTTAAGTGCTATTCTCATTATCAATCTTTTATGTTTTGCTTTCTTTGCCATTTCTACTACGGCAGCTAGAAATGGACTGAAAAATCCATTAGACGCCACCACATTAGGCAAAGATGATGTTTCCTTTACTGGGACTAACTTCACTTATGTCTGTGACCCTTCTAGGTATGCTGCCCTTGGATTGGACATGGCAAATTTTTCCTTCTGTGACAAGTCCCTTCCCTATGATGCTAGGGCTTGGTAAACCGTATGACATTGCAAGAAAAGGTTCAACAGCTTGGACATGCGGCTTATGGTGTGCCTAGGTTAGGGTTACCTAAATATAATTGGTGGTCTGAAGCCTTGCATGGTGTGTCCAGTACAGGCCCAGGAACTTTCTTTGTTGAAGTTGTTCCTGGTGCAACTAGCTTCCCTACTGTAATACTCACAACAGCTGCTTTTAACGAGTCTTTATGGAAAACTATTGGTCAGGTAATTAGTTTTGTTGCTGTTTCTAGCATTAAAAGTCGATTTTTGCTCATACGGGTTAGCTATTAATGTAAATATTTAACTAATAAATATTATTAACTAATGGCACGGCGTTTCGACCGAAGAAGGGCAATTGTACAATTTAGGTACGGGCGGATTAACTTTCTGGAGTCCGGTTATTTAACGTAGTAAGGGACCCGATGGGGAAAGAGCCATTGAAAACACCCTGGAGAAGATCTTTCATTGAAACACCTGGAGAAGATCCTTTCATCGTAGGTAGATATGCTTCTAGTTTTGTAAGAGGCTTACAAGATGTGGAAGGGACTGAAAATCACCCAGATCCAGACTCTAGACCTCTCAAAGTTTCCTCATGTTGCAAGCACTTTACTGCATATGATCTTGAAAATTGGAATAACACTGAACGTTATATCTTTGATGCTAGAGTAATTTTCTGGAAGAAAAACCTTTTTTTTTTTCCAAAATTTAAAATCATCTTAATTTTAAAAATGAATGAGAATTAATTAAAGTGATAACTTAATGCAGGTGCATGAACAAGATATGGTAGAAACTTTTAATCGACCTTTCGAGATGTGCATTAAAGAAGGTGATGTGAGCAGTATTATGTGCTCTTTCAATCGTGTTAACGGCATACCTGCTTGTGCTGATCCAAAGCTCCTAAATCAAACCATCAGAGGAGAGTGGAATCTTCACGGGTAAAGATATGATCAGCTTGAATTCATTTAATTTCTTTATTCTATAACTAATACAACTGAAAACGATTTTATTCTTTTCGTGACAGATATATAGTATCAGATTGTGATTCCATCCAAGTTATGGTTGAACGCCATAAATTTCTTGATGACACCAAGGAGGATGCAGTTGCAAGAACACTTAAAGCAGGCTTGGATCTGGACTGTGGAGAATACTACACCAAAAACACTGAAGCTTCAGTAAAACCAAAAACACAGAAGCTTCAGTAAAGCAAGGAAAGGTCGGGGAAGAAGACATAGATAGGTCACTTAAATATCTCTATGTGGCGCATCTGAGAGTAGGGTTCTTTGATGGAATCCCTCAATTTCAATCTCTTGGCATCAAAGACGTGTGTTCCGAACAACACATTGAATTAGCAGCACAAGCTGCGAGGGATGGAATTGTCCTGCTAAAAAATAATGATGATACTTTACCCTTGAAGTCTGATACGATCAAAACCTTAATTCAAAACCTTAGCTATGGTGGTCCTCATGCTAACGCTTACAAAGCTATGATTCGGAAGATTATGCAGGTACATATTTTAATACAAACACAGTTTCAATTGTATTATAAATATAATTAACATTTTATTCCAGGGAATCCATGCCGATTATATCTCTCCTATTTGATGGAGTTTTCGACATATGCAAAAAGTGAGTTATGCAATTGGGATGCGTCGGAGTTGCTTTGTAGGGATACAAATTGGTATTGTCAGCAATGGCCAAGTTGCACAGGAAGGCTGATGCTACTATAAATTAGTAGCAGGTATTGACTTGCTGTTTGAAGCCGAAACCAGAGATCGGGAGGATCTCCTCCTTCTGTGTTACCCCTGGTTACCAAACTGAACTTATCAACAATGTTGCGAATGCTGCCAAAGGTCCAGTTATTCTTGTAATCATCTCAGCAGGAGGAATAGATATCACTTTCGCTAAAAACAATGTCAATATCAAAGCCATTTTGCGGGCTGGATACCCTGGAGAAGAAGGTGGTCGGGCCATTGCAGATGTTGTTTTCGGAAAATACAATCCTGGTCATTGACTGACTGATAGTTTTAATTAAGAAATTTCAGTTTTTAATAATTTTTGTAATTTTTTTATCTTTTTTTTTTTCGGTTCAGGAGGAAGACTACCACTTACTTGGCATCAAACAGATTTTGTTGATCAACTACCAAAGACATCTCTACAAATGATTAATTAAGCTATCCAGGTCGAGCTTATAAATTCTTTAATGGCTCTACCGTTTACCCATTCGGGTATGGACTCAGCTACACTGACTTCACTTATAAGTTAACATCTCCAAGAACACCAGTCAATATAAAACTAAACAAGTTGCAACATTGCCATAATCCGAACTAATCACTTATCCTGTAAGGAAAGTTTTCAGTTTGATATTGAAGTGAAAAATGTGGGATTCAGAGATGGAAGCGAAATTATGATTGTATACGCCAGGCCTCCGAAGGAATTATAGAGGCAAATATTAAGCAAGTGATTGGGTTTAAGAGGCTTTTTGTTAAAGCTAAGAGTAGTGAGAAGGTTAGTTTTGAGTTTAATGTTTGTAAAAGCCTGCAGATCATAGGCTATAATGCGTATAGTGTTCTGCCATCAGGAGGGCACACTATCATGATTGGGGATGATGTAATTTCTTTTCCATTTCAAATTAGTTTTAGTTAGGTAATTAGCAGTGATAATAAATTTTGAGTTAGGGAGATGTTATTGTCTAAAATCAAAGTGAATAAAATTTAGTTTTGATTTATGATGAAATACAAAATAGTGGCACTCACACCG